CCCCTCTGAAGAGTTTTGTGGAGAAACCCAGTATATATATAAAATGTTATCTGAACTTCTAAAAAGCTGATAAAAATATTCACCTCATGCCCCCCCAGGAAAGGTTAGTTAAGCCTTCAGAGATATGACAATACTGAACCATTGAAATGTTACTTATTTAATCAGAATCAGGGACATATTTTTCCAACACATTCCTTGTGAAAGTTATTGTAGACAGTAACTGTGAGGAAAATCAGCTAGAAAAAGAGGGGATAAATGGAAATCTGGTCAAGAGAGCTAGTGAAAAGCAGCCTCAGCTGGAAAACACAATGCAACAAAAACAATCCAGGTTGTTAGGGATGTGAAATGAATAATAGTTTAGTTCCCCAAATGGATATCAAGGTAATGTAACTTGCCTCATAATCTTGCATTTATTTGAGTAGGTAACCATGTCCATGAGGAAGAAATGTTATGGAAGCCTTTATTTAGGCCGGACAAACTAAACCAATAAATTCTTTAGCTCAGAAATCCAAACTCATTTTAGATACGTGACTGCATGGCTATTCACTGGCTGTGATTCTCAACTTCATTTCTTTGCCCGCTCCCCACATTTTAAAAATATATGGTTCTGAATGCACTCTCTGTGTTCTCAAGGATCCTTATGGAATCCAAAAGGAATCTGCGGCCGTATTGGCTAGTCTACAAGTCAGTGTGCCAGGTGAACAGCATAGCATTGTCAATATCATAGCCCCTGATTGGTGGGCTTTGGCAATTTCCCCATGAATGCTGGCAGCACATCCTCCAGTGTTACACTTTTGAGGTACTTTCTAATGATGAGCTTCCATTTATAGGCTGGTATATATAGAAGAAAGGGGCACAGTGACTCAGTGGCTAAGACGGTGAGCTTGTCAATCAGAAGATCAGCAGTTCGAATCCCTAGCATCGCATAAATGCAAGTAGAAAAATAGGGACAACTTCGGTGGGAAGGTAACAGTGTCCCGTGCGCTTTTGGCATTTAGTCAAGCCAGCCACATGACCATGGAGATGTCTTCAGACAGGGTAGCTCTTTGGCTTAGAAATGGAGATGAGCACCGCCCTCTAGAGTTGGGAATGACTAGCACTTATGTGCGAGGGGAACCTTTACCTTTTATATAGAAGAAGGCTATGTGCCAACCTAGGGCAGGATATTTGCTTTCTTACATCCCCAAGTATTTGGTGCACTGATTCCTCCACAGATTTCTGACAGTTTGGCAGTTTCTGATGTTTTTATCTGGAGTGCTATCAGAGACTAAAGAAAATGTAACCCTTTCACATAGCTCGACTTGTGGTTTTGTTTTATTTCTGGCACAGCCTCTGGTTGTTCATTAAGATAGAGAATTCATGAAATTTCTCCATAAAAACAACAGTAATTAATGCTCTCTTCCCAAACTGCCCTATTCCTCTAAGCTATTCCCAGAGATCTGAGTGAAAAACTAAGCCATGGTGTACATATTTTCCCTTGCATGTATGTGCTTCCACTTGCAAACACACTATCTGCTTGTGAAATTTTTAACTATAGCCTCTCTTTTCTATTGACAGGAAAATATAGCACAATACTACGTTGCTCTCTTTTCCCTGTTTAATTCCTTCCTGGCTTATGATAACAAGAGTTTTGTCTACCAAGCAAAGGAATAAAATGAACAAGGAAGCAGGAAATGGAAGGGATTTGAATCTGGCTCCGAGTCTGAAAAAAAATTTTTTTTTAAACCACTCTTTGGAAAAAAATCAAACACCATTTTATCAATTCCATGTTCAGCATTTGTGCATAATTCCATTTCAAATACAGTCTTAGACCATGTTCAAAACCATAAACTCTTTTGTCTTCTTTCAATCTTTCTAATAACTGTAAATAACAAAACCATGGCCAATTATGTCCCTCTGCCAAATCTGGTTTTGCATCTATTCCATATTCTCAATATGGCATGTCTAACATAATTATTTTTAAAATCCACACTGGCTTTGACTTTGTTGTGCCGCAAATATCCATGCCACTCAAGTCTCAGGTCGTGTCCTTTTAACTCCAAAAACCCTCTGTTTGTCAGAAGCCCTCATTCTTTCATCTAAACCCAACAACAAGCTGCAAAATATAATTTCAAATCAAGTAGACCCAATCTTCCTCTTTCCTTTTTATCCTGAAATATCTTATATTTAACTTATGGGGTTTTTCCCTCCCTGCCACACAAATTTAAATTTATTTTTTTTCCACTATTGAAAGGATGCATCAGTTGTCAAAACATATTGTTTGGAACAAAAGCATCATTCTAGACAGGATAGGATTCTACTCAAGAATGACAATTGCATTTTCTCCTAACTTAACATACCTTTTAAAGTTTCATTGCATGTCTTAACATAGTTATTTTGAAATGAGATACATTTCATATTTGTCGTAGCCAGTGTGATTTTGATTTTAAGTTTCTTCTTAATTTTAAAACCTACTTTATTCATCAATTCTCTCTGATCTTCTATTTTCATGTTTTTTAAAATATCTCCATCTTCAGTTGTTGTTCTTAAAATATAACAAAACACACTAAATTCTTCGCTTTCCCATTAATATTTCAATTCCCTTTAAAAATCTTCCAAAACCAATACCAAATCATTTGCAAAATCCCTTATTCTCTCATCTTGTTTTATGTCTCTATTCAGCATTTCAAGAATCAAAATAAGCAAGAGAGGGGAGGCTGACCATCCTTGTCTTGTTCCTTTTTGTATCTCACAGGCTTTGCCCATTAATAATTATTTGTGCTTTCTGTGAAGTATAAAATTGAAATTTCCCTATTTTACGAAGTTCTCTTTGAAGTTCATATCTTCCAAATCTTTGAATAGGAAAGCCCAATTCAGATTGTCAAAGGCTTCTCTATATAAGAAAATCAATGCAGCTTGTTTTTCATTACGTTGCTCCAAATATCCAACACATTTCTAAGAATGTACTTTAAGTGTCTTTTAGATAAAAACCCGCATTGATCCTCATGAATACGTTCTTCAAAATTTATCTTTTCACCCAGAATCTTTGTGAACAATTTTGTCTTCATTGTTATACTTGCAGATGCCATTCTTAGGTAGAATTAATGGATTCATAAAGTTAAATAGTTCACATTTTAAAGACAATCTCAAGATTACCAAATTTTACATTTTGATGTAAATTATACGTTTTTGTAAAACTTTAGATGAGAATTCCAAAATTCTTTCAGAATGCAGGGTTCTTATATGTGTAGTTCATGAAGATTTTGGTTATTTTGATTTTGGACCTGCACCTTTGCATGAGATTTCATGTTGTTGCTTCACTAAAAAGCTTACCAGCACATTGTAGTTCAAATTAATTCTAAACTTTAAACCACATCATGTATTAATCAGGCGAAGTATTGCAATTTGTACTGAATTGTTTACCTTGTAATATGGTAGAGAAAATAATTTCTACATGCAGTGATCTGAAGAGTATACTGTACTGAACTGACTCTCAAAGTTGTTTTAAAAGTTTCCTAACCTTTTCTCCTAAACATTTTATCTAGATATTTATGAGAAAGAAAAAGCAATTGGCTAAAGATCTACTATTCCATTTATAGGAAGCCCTATAATCTTCTCTAAACTCTTAAATGATGAGATTTATACATAATTACAGAGTATTTAAAGAGGATACAGGAAATAAACTAACTTCTACTGGCAGTGTACATTCTGAACTACAGGGTTACTGATGAGCAGATCTGCTTCACTTTCCTTTCTAATTTGTGACTGTAGTTCCTTTAGATTCACACATTTGTAGCAATAGCAATAGCAATAGCAGTTAGACTTGTATACCGCTTCATAAGTAAACTCTCTCTAAGCGGTTTACAGAGTCAGCATATTGCCCCCACAGTCTGGGTCCTCATTTCACCCACCTCGGAAGGATGGAAGGCTGTCAACCTTGAGCCGGTGAGATTTGAACCGCCGAACTGCAGATAGCAGTCAGCTGAAGTGGCCTGCAGTACTGCACCCTAACCACTGCGCCACCTCGGCTCTATATCCCTTCTCCTGGTTTTATCCCATCAGATCATGAGAAAGGTTAGGGTTAGGGTTTAAATGAGTTGTATCTTCACTGAGAAAAGGGTTTTGCCTGCAAAGCAATGAGAAGTTCTTTCATTGTTATTCCACTACTAAGGTGCTGTCAGTGGCAATAGTCTTAATGGTTCACTGCTGCTTTGGGAAACACAGCAAAGACTCTTTCAGAAGAAAGCCTGTTGCCTGAATGAATTTGATTGGCCTCAATGGGATGCACCATGCTGGACACCAGGCTAAAAATTAAAAACACTTTTATTATGCCATAGGAACTGAGTTTCTCATCCTGATGGCCATCAGACAACTTTATGCAGGACTGGGCCCTTTCAATCCCGTTTATTTCTTGTCTGGATTTCCAACGCCTCCTCTCTTAACATCACTTTTATTTAATCTTCCTATAAATCGACAAGAGGATCGCACCGATTGTTTCCCGGAAGAATGCAAACGGCGAAACTTCAGACCATCTTTTGGTCACATCATCACCGTCATCATCATTATCTCTCCTGCATCCAGACCACGCCGATGATTCCAAGTGCCGTTTTCTCCGCGCTGCGAAGTTGCCGGTCGCAACCTCAATACTACCGAACGGCAAAGCGCGTCGTAACGCCGCGCCGCTTGCCTTCTCCCTCCTGCCGGTCCCGATCTCCCATTGGAAGCGGCGGGGTGGGCGGGTCCCCTCGATTGCATCAGAGCCCGAGGAGGGTGCCCCGGTTCTTAAATATCCCGGAGCGAGGCGAGGGAGGGAGAGGCAGGAGGCGTGGCACGGGGGGGGGGCGGTCAGACGGCCGGGGACTGGGGAAAGGCGTGTGACGGTCACAGCTGGGCAGCGATCCCGGAGGCGCTCCTCCTTCCAACCTTCCAGGAGGCTGCCTCAGCCCTCGCCCGCTCCTTCCACCCCATCCCCGTTCCCGGCTCCCCCTTCTTCCCCCGACTGGAGGGGTCCCCACCGGCCCCACCCTCTCAAAGCCCCCATTGCGAGCGCCCGCCGCTCCCTCTGGGAAAGCGTCCCCCAGCTCGGGCCAATCGGTTCTCCCCATGGATTACAGGTTTCCTTCGGGAGAGGGAGGCGCAGCCTTCCTTTGCCCGGCGCCCGAGGAACTGCTCCGCCGGGCTGCGCGGCAGTAAGGCTCACCGCCTGTCCGTTCAGGACGGATCCTGCAGCTCTGGCGGGGAACAAAGCGGCTTCCCTCCTTCCCACCTCTTCCGCGCCTTCCTCGGGCTCGAGTCTTCCGCAATGGACGGTATCTTAGAGCCCTTCCCCGGGGGCGCCTCCAGCTTCCTGGACTTGGGCGATTTGAATGAGGCGGATTTTCTTAACAATGTGGTAAGTGGAAGCAGGGCTGGGGGGCTGGCAAGGTTTGTAAGGCAGCCCCTCCGAGGGTTTTTTTGGTGGGTGGGTGAATGGATCTGCTACTGGCCAAGGCAAGAAGGAGGAAAGGGTTCCTGCATGGCAGAAGGAAGCCAGGTGTATGCCGAGATGCGCCTGGATTTGTCTCCAGCTACCTCGTGTTAAAATCAGGGGTTGCCGGTTACCGGTTTTTAATGGCAGGACCGGCTAAGTAACACGTGTTGCATACTGATGTATCTACACGGCGACCGCTTTCCGTTGGAAATTGTGCCGCTCGGGCACTGCATTCTTGGCTACCAGCCAAGGCGGAAAGCTGTCGGTTGATTTATATAGATCTGCATAATTGCTCAGCATCTGATACCTAGCAGCCAGATGTGGGAGGATGCTGTACTGACAACACTGGGTTTAACCTAGCATGAAAAATCTATCTCTTCTGTAATATTTGAGAGATTTATATGGCTATCACTCCATCTCATCATCTTCAAGAGTGCATATAGGCACCAGCCCAAAGCGTGGTCGATGGGCAGGTGGGAACATGGGTCGGGAGTTGGGATTGATGACATATTTGCCTTGCAACCTCAGTGCAAAACCTTAGGAAAATTGGTGGAATTTACTTGTAGATTAGTATTAATTGAGAAGTAACTCACTCTCCTCCCCTCCCCTTAAATAAGATATTCCATATTTGTAGTTGTATTTGCGCAAGAGTTCTTCAAATCTTAAAACTCATACTAGAGTTTACCGGCTTGGGCATATCATGTAAATGTCACATTTTAATTGCCAGCGTAACGCAAAAGCTCTATTTAGATCCATTTTTACTAAAAGAAGAGTTTCCAGATATGATCAAAGAAGCAGCATTGTTAGAGTCTTGATCCTTCCCTCCACATATTTATCTAGTTCCTTCTTGAGTTGTTTGTAGAACTCTAATTTTCAGCACATTTAAGACAACTCTACTGTTAGAAGAGTGAGAAAAATGACAATCATTACTAATGAATATTTTTGTTCATAATTGGCAATCACTCCGACACTAGAATAATTGGTGAAGTTTTCATCTAAGGTGAAATGAATTCACTTTTAGATATTTTCTAGTTTCATCCTTTGTCTGTAGTTTATACAAGTTCTCCAGAAGTATAGAGGTTCTATATGTTCAAGAAGAAGGGAGGAAAAAAAATACTTATCCCCCACAATAGTAATACATTAGGACTAGAAAAAGGATAGAATAAAAATAGATACATGATTAAACAAAAAGGAATAACTCAGTCTACTAGACATTAATGTGCTTTGATGGGTTACTTCAATGCCTGTGTTTTAAATTGCTAAAAGCACCAACTCATCTGAATCTACCTCTTTCCTTTAAAATAATATTTCGTTTGGAAAGAGGTAAAATGTGTATTTGAAATTAAAAAGTATTTGTTTTAATAACTGAATTATTTGTATAAATGGAAATACTAAAAAACAACTTCAAATGCCATTGGCAGTGCACATACTCTGCACACTCAGTAATTAATAATCATCTATTTTCCTTAGTATATTGTGTGAACCCAGAAACTTGGTTAACTATGATACGCTTAATATGAGGATATAGCCATAATGAAAAGGCTTAGGAAATTAATATATTTCTGTGCTTCTGTATTTATATGCATTGCTAATATTCAGTGAAAAGCTTAAGAATAATTTATAACACAAAAAGTTTTGTTTAAAAAATCCTTAGGTCTAAAGAGCACCAACCATCTGTTCCCAAGGTGATTTTAGGACAGAATTTCTTGCATTACATACAATTTCTTTACAATGTTTGTAATTTGTGGACTGAGATTTCACTTAGACAGGAAGAATCCATGCCCCCTCCCTAGCATTTCATACCACATTTGATTATTCTTACAAAGCCTGTATTTAAGAGCAAACTGTCTTAAAATAAACTGCTTTGCTGCAATTTAATATTGTCAGAAACTTTGAACTATTCTCTGCCTCCACAGAAACATTTTTCCCCTCCTAGAATGAGGCATGCAGTCTTCGGTAGGTCTCATTCTTTCTCAGCTATAGGAATTAAGGCCATTATATCAAAGCTGCAAAATGCATATGACCAATACATGGCAGTAGAGAGATGCAGAATGCACTAATTCTTTGTTGCCATCTGTGAATGAATGGATTTTTGCAGCACTCATGTTATAGCAGAACTACAAATTTCACTTTAAGGAAAAGTAAAGTACTTTACTTTCACTCTTGTTCTTTTCTCAGATGTCATGGTGGATATTTTACACTTTTAAAAAAATGAAGGAATCAATGGAAACATTAGAGCACAATGACTTTAGCTATGACATATACAGAAAAGGTGTCAGATTCAATTCATGATTGTACTTGCATGATAGGATTACACATGTTTAACTGTACTATGGTTTGCTTCATTTTGTGAGATTCCATGATATGCAGAACCAAAAAAAACAATGTCATGAGAATATTACATAAAGTACTAGGCTAAAATATGGGTATCTACTCTATGGGTGAGTGTGCCGTGCAAACGAAGCATTTGGCAGCTTCAGTTGGAGAAAGGTCCTGGGAAAAAAGTGATGTAATATACTTTCTACTATTGAGAATTACTACTCCTCAGAGTAGTTCATGATAATTTGACTGGCCAATTTGCTTAACTTGATATCTATGTATTAAAATACACTACTGCTTTGTTTTCAATCATTGAGAGTTATACTGTCCTTTTTATGGCATTTTTATAGGAGAAAACCTATTAATAGATTTAATAAAGGTTTTCTCCTATCTTATGGAATGTTAGATTGACAAGCTTTAAAATTTCTGTACCAGTGACTATATTAGTTAATATAATAAATTGTCCTACTTTGGCTAATGTTTGCTAAACTGTCATAATTACATAAGTATGCAGAACATTTAGAGAACTGGGGGAAATGATGGTTTTCTAGTCAGCCAATATGTTTACAGCAAATGTTATTTGTATTATTTATAAATGCAGTTCTAAACCCTTCTTAGTGAACTCATATTGTTGGCTGTTTTGTAAGGAACGTCCATGGGCATGCCATTCTAATCAAATAGTCTGTTCATGTAATCACAGTGAATGTGTGTTTATGGAGGCATGCGTGTGTTTGCTATTCCCTCCTTTTCTTTTGGGAATTGCTGGAAGGACAAGGTGGGACAATCAATTATAGGCAATACTCGGTGTTACCTTTACCTATTGTTTGCAGTCTGAATGGGAAGCAAGGAAATAACGCAATTTGTCAAGAGTGGAACGTTAAGAGCCATGGAAGAGGTCGCTTACATTGCAGGGATAGTTCTTGAAGAATTTCGATTATCTGGAATGATTATTAATGCAGCAGTTGCTAAAAAGCTAATCGCTATCACCAAAAAATATAGTCATTTTACTTGTATTTTAGCTGCCATTCTTCCATCCAGAGGTAGATTAAAAAATGCTAAAAACATTTCTGCTCTCCTTCATTCAAAAGCCAACAGAGTTGATCCCAAGCCTTTACAAGCGATACATCTATGCCAGTGATGGCAAAAGTTTTCAACACCAAGTGCCCAAATCGGAATGCACCTGCACGTGAGTGTGCATGCCGGAGCACCAGAAACCTAAAGACCAGCTGTTTTTTGGCCGGTTTTGGGGGGTGCTTTTAGGCCATTTTTCATGTTGTTTTTGACCTGAAAAAATGGCCTAAAAACAGCCTGAAAATGGTCCAAAAAACTTCCTGAAAACAGCCCGGAAAATGGCCTGAAAACAGCCTGACCGGTTTTTGCCTTTTTTCAGGCCATTTTTCAGTCTGTTTTCTGGCACCTATGAAGACCAGCTGGAGTCTGTGACCACATGCATGCCAGAAACCAGAAGAGCAGCTGGTGACTGCGCACGTGCCCACAGAAAGGGCTCTGCATGTCACTTCTGGCACGCGTGCCATAGGCTTGCTCTCACGTATCTATGCAATAGTAGAAAGGATAGGAGTTGGAAGTTTAATTATATTTAGAAGCGTATTGGGCATAAACCTCTATAGCTACAGGGCTATGATGTTATCACAGGAGGGTCACGATTTGAAGAAATTTTATGATTGAAATCTTGAGTTAAGTCTTGGTGGTCCATAGCCACAAAAGGTTTTAACAGATTAACAGAGTTGGAAGGGAGTTTATAGGTCATCTAATCCAGCCCCCCACTCAAGCAGGAAGTTTGAAGTTTTATTTTATTTATATGCCGCCCTATTCCCTATAGGGACTCAGGGCGGCGAACAACTCAAACGGGAAAGGGAACATACA